TTTTTTTCATGCCATTCACTTTTTTCAATTGGAGAATGCCAAAAAAAACAAAAAATGAAAATACACAGTATTTTTTTTTATTATTATTTTTGTATATTTGGTATAACAAATAGTTAAATTGGGACATTATTAATTAAAAAAAGGTTGGAATATCTGTTGGCAGAACTTTATCCAAACCTTCTTGTTTGTCTAGTGAAGAAGAAAGATTGATAGAACTGAGGAAAAAGTTTATTCTACTTGATAATTTAATAAGGTTAGTTCAACTGTATTATTTAGTATTCATCAATATGGCATTATGACAGAAAGGTAAATGGGGTGCCTTAATTCTGGTTATTGTTTAGTATCCAATTTTCATATTTCACTTTTATTTATTTATGTTTTTTTTTTTAATTTATGTTTCATTTCGTTAGATGAATGTCACGTGTTTCGTACATCTAATTCTGAAGGCTACTTAGTTCAATATCGAGCTTGCAAATTTAATCGAACTGAAAATGAGAGGGTTTTCGGCCCGTATTTTGTGCGGTCCTAGGCAAGCAAGCAACTACTATTAGGCTCAGTTTGGCTCGGTTCGACTTGGCTAAAAATGTCGATTAGAAAGGAAATTGGTTATAAATTATGAATTAAAATGTCGGCCAGAGGGTCTCTCGAACTTAATAAAAAGCAGCTACATATGAATTCTACCATTAGAAATTTAGAATAGTTAAGTTCTTCAGCAACCTATCTATGATGGCGATGAATTCAATATTAGATGGTTTGGCATACTGATTTATGAAGCAGCTAATTTCATAATTCAACAGTCATTTAAATTCAGTTAATAAGTATAATTATGGGCAACCAACAATAGAAGAAAAAATTCCACTTTTCTATGGTAATTTCTATTGGACTTTGACGATCCGAACGATAATTTTCTCTACTATTGAAATATTTAGTAGTGTAAAAACAATTACAACGGACAGTACATTTATTAAAATAAATTTGTACTTTCGACCGGTGCAACAATTTTTCATTACTCTCTTTATACTCTTTTGACCTAAATATGGTGGCATGTTATACTGATCTACTTTTAGTGTATATTGAGTACAACTCAATAATAGTTGTGTGCAAAGTTTGACCAAAACCAAAAAATCGACCTAAATAGAATTTTTTCGATTCGGTTTTCTATATGTTGGTTCGATTATCAATTTTATACTTTAAAATTTTGGGTATTTCGATTTGGTTTCAATTTTATTTTTAAAATACTCGAAATAACTGAATCGACCAAACTCTATAAAAATATTACTTTCAACAAAAAAATAATATAAAATATTAAATAATAAATATTGAATTACTAAATATATTTTTCACATCATAAATTATAATTAATTTCAATCATTTCGGTTAATCGGCAAAATAAAAAAATTATTTTAGTCCGATTTTCGTTTGATTTAGGACAAAAGGTTTCGGTTCGGTTTTTTCAGATTGTATTTATATTATTTTCAGTAAAAAATAATATAAAATATTAAATAAAAAATATTAAAATACTAAATATAATTTTTTATATTATAAATTATAATTAATTTCAGTTATTTCGGTTAACCGATGGAATAAATCGATGATTCCGACTCGATTTTAGTTCGTTCAGGAGAAAAAGTTTGGTCGGTTCAGTTTTTCCAAAAGTTCAACTAGGTTATTTTGGCTCTGACATTTCGGTCGGTTGGTTCAACCGAACCGACTGATGAACAACCCTTCTCAAAACCATCTATTTTGAAATTAGGAAATTAGACAAATCAAATTAGGATGATCGAAATCATCAAACCCTAATTCAATCTATATAATTATTGATAAATGCATAGAAGATAACACTAAATTGTGATACAAACAGTTAACATGTGGTACATACACAAGCCTACCTAAGTGATTAAATTATAATTAATATATTATTACTTTTTTATTTAATTAAAAGTGGGCATTGCTTTAATATCCATTCTGATGGCAGTTAGGACTTTTTAATAGGGAGATTTAATTTGATCCATTGAAAGTAATATGTTAACCAACAAATGTCAGCAATGAATGAAGCCTTAATAGCCCAGTTGTGGTTGCAAATATTTACTATAATTTTCATTTTTCCAGCAAACATCTTGTGATCATACCCTCTATAATTAATACATTTTTTCTACTCTTTTTTTTTTCAGATTTTAAATAATCATTTTCTACCACACATTTTAATTCACATTTTAGTTATGAGTCAGCCTAACAATTAAACGAGTCGACCCATCACGTATTTGTATAAAATTACATATTTATATATTATGAAATGTATGATTTTTTATATTGTTTTTAAATTATGCAAATATGTCAAAAAAAATTTAAAAAATTGTCTAATGGTTGATTGTCCTGTTTTTTTTGTTTCTCAAGAGTTCTCATTCATTTTGCTTTCATAATTACTGTTATTCAATAGATGCCTCACTCCAGTTGTATCTATAATCAATTCTGAAATTAAAGAAATCAATGTCCTTTCATGTCTCCTACATTTTTTGTTCTATATATACAGACCCATTTGAGGCCTTGAGAAAAAAAAAATAAAAAATAATAATAATAATCACAAACAATTCTGAAAATTATTCCAGATTTCTGCTTATTTGGCCTAAAGTTTTTGTCACTTCTATAAAGGTACAGTTTTGAACTAATTAGCTAATTTTCTTTAATTAAATTTATTTTTTTTAACTAATTATCTTATACCACAATTCTTGCAATCATTTTATTTTATTTTTTTTTCCAAATTTTGTAAAAAGCAGCTTTGCAAGAATGAATTACAAAGATGAGAGCCCAAAGCTAGAGCTGAAGCTCAACTTATCTCCACCTAGGGACAACCGAGGCCCGGGACAAGAGCTTGTGTGGGCCCACGAACCGGGCTCGTCGACCGAGATATCGCCTAGAAGCTCGTGTGTGTCCCGAGAGTCGAGCCCGAACGACGAGCAGTATTCGAGCAGCCCGGAAAGCATGAGGAATATGATTCTTGTGGGCTGTCCAAGATGCCTAATGTATGTAATGTTGATGGAGGAAGATCCAAAGTGTCCTAAATGCAAAAGCACTGTTTTGCTTGATTTTATGCAAGAGGATAGGAACAATATGGGACTCAAGAAGTGAGGGTTTTAAGGGGAAATTGAGATTTTTTTTTTTTTT